ATGAACTTCACCAGAAACACAATGTCACGACAACTTGTCTGACATTACACCCTCATTTGAGGAACATGATCACAACCTTCTTGAAACCACAAACAATATTGATAATTAACTGCATTACTGCAGCAGAGATCATCGATAGAAGTATAATCCCCCCTATCAAGAATAAACAGTTCTCCTTTGCCAGAAGAATACCTTAACATGAATGGAAAACATAAGACTCATCTTCATGTCTTCAAGAGCTCACTCCTTGTTCAACACACCTGCTAAACACATTCACTTACTGCTTGATCCATAAGCAATCTGTGTACCACAATAGTACACCCATCAGACAAAAGCTCTCCCCTATCTTTTATAAAAGATGCTCCTTTCCTCAAGAAACACCCAAAATCACCACACGATATCTCATGACCAACTTCATGCTCATATAGTGAGAAATTACCAGGATTGCCATCCTTGTACTATAACTAACGAACTCTTGGATTGAGACCAAAATCACCATTGATCCGTCTCGTCCTAAACCCATCCATACCCTGTACAAATCCACATTGAATCTTACAGCCATAGATGTCCATGTTCCTTGATAAAAAATCCAATTGAACCTAGAATTCTTCACATTCCTCAAAGAGACATACATAGCCTTTTAGTTTGTTAGTTATCCTAAATGTCATTCACACTTGAAGGACATCAGATACATGCTCCAGAAATCCTCAGCTTACTTGTTTCACAAGCACCAAACTGGTCCACTTCTTCCAGAGTTACTTGCAGCATAAGAAATCACTTCTCCATAAACATTCTGACCTCAACATGAGTCAGAGAACCAGATAGACACCTCATAATCCAAGACAGTCTTCACCTTATTATTCTCTCTTATGATAAGTTAGAACACTTATGATTCTACTGGTGAATATCAGCTTTCACAATCTAAACCCCAAGTTCAAAAAACGTGATGATGTTCTAACATCAGTTAGGACATCCTGATCATATCACAGACACCATACATTATGGTTCTTGATACAATAACAACTAGACTTACTATCTGCATAGTAATCCAACTGAAGATCTTCAGAGAGCACAACTCCTGCACTCTAATTTACCTAGATCATAAAAAACTGACCCAAGCGATATTCATCAAGATTATGATGACTTCATTTTCACTTTCAGCAGCACCATATTCTAGATAAGTTCCCTGCCACAAAACTTCCTAGTCAGATTATGTGCCTTTGCAGATCTTACCAGAAGAAGGTTCCCAACACTTTATGTCAACACACAAAAGTTTAGTTCCCAGAGCATAAGCTATTCCCCTTCCTTGTCCTAGACATTCACTCTTTGAATCAGCAAAATTTTGTACAAACTCACTGATGGAATGTTTCAACAGCTCGTTGAGCATCAGATCCTTGAAGTAGTCCAAAAAGATCCAAGGACCAGATACATGAGCATCAATTTGATCAAACACCTTGATCATCAACTAAGGATAATCCATTAAATACTTGTAAGTAGTAATAAATCTTAAATCCTTATAAAAAAATCCTTCTCCCAGAAGACTAACTTAAATCATTCACCTGATGTTAGTCCTTGAGTTGTTGTGGCTAGAAAGGTTGCACCTCCTGATGAACCATCTTAACTCCAGCACTCTTGACCTTCATGGATAACCAATTAAATACCTGTGCATTCCACAAATAGAAATTGATCTTAAATCTACATATCTTGTAGAGAAGACCATCTGAAAAATATTTTAACTTCAGCGATACCAAAATTATTCTTTAGTGCAAGTATCTTTGATGTTGAAACGTCAAGGCTGACACCCTTGACTCAACCTGCCTATGACTTTCTCTTGCTGATGAAGTCCTTACAACACTTGGATGATGAAATAAATCACCTCCAATTTCTTCATATTGATGATCCTCAAAAAGCATCCTTGATCCAGAAGAGAAACTAGAGAGTTCTAGAGACATAATAGAGAAGCCTTTATGAGTGGACTTGAGAAAAAAATATCAAGTGTCTTTGGAAGAATTGTCAGGATAAAGGTAGATTACCAACTTCATAGACTACAAATTTGATACCCTAGAACTCAAATCATCTATCCTCCAAAAAGACTTTAAGATACCTGAAGGAACTGACCTACCAAATACCAAGACATCAAAGGCGAACACCAACAAATAACTTTCTTCATTCTATTACTCCCGACTAGAACAGCTAGAACTTCCATAGATGTTGACGCCTTTATGACAACCAGAGGATAAACAGTATTCAATTTAGTTCTACCAAAGTCCTTTCATCATAAACACATGCAGTAGAACACCAAAGAGCACATCTTCAATAGGCTCTAGTCAAGATGTCAAGATATCTTAGCAGACACCTTGTAGAGAATAGCCTCTTCACAGAAGCAAAAGGCAACAAACCATTAGCTATCATCCTTGATCTATTACCAGTTATTATAAATATTTAATACCTTCAAAAACATCAGAATTAAGGGTCTGATCGCACAAACACACATCTTGTTTAAGGAACCAGAAAGTATCTCCCAAGATCTCATCCAGAAATAGACAAGACGCCTGTTCTGATACCAATTTAAATTCTGGTATAGCAGATCTCGAAAATGACCTGAGAGATGTCGAGACACTTGATCTCTACTTCAAACACAATGATAATAAGGAGAAGAAAACAAATTATAGAAAGTAAACAACACACAGAATTGTTAACCCAGTTTGGTGATCAACAACACCTAAGTCTGGGGGCTACCAAGCCAGGAATGAAATCCACTAGACATTATTAATTCTAAGCTAAACTCCATCGTTTACAACTATTCACTTAATCACTACCCGTGCTTAATTTCTACCTAAGTTCCTAGGTATGAGACCCTTCTCAATTCCCTTTCAATCGCAACAGTAATTGAAATTACAACTCAATGAAAATTGTCCAACTCTGGTATCAACACAATACAAGAGTGGCTCACAAAGTACAAACCCTAATACACACTAAGCATTAGTGAAAAATTCAACACTTATCTTAGGTTAAATTAATCCTATTTATAACCATAAACAAGACTGGATTCGGGCTTCAAAAATGCAACACTTATGTTCAATAGAATCTGCAACTAATTCACCTCAAGAATAGTTTCTTCAATCCTAAGTTTCCTAAAGTGTCGCCACAAATTCAGTCATAGATTTTATGTCATTAAGATAATTCGCCTCAAGACTGGATTTATCTTTTTCATATTTACATGTTTTATAATGAATTTGTTAGTTAATTCAGTCATAAATTTTTCTGACAAAAAATAAATAAATTATAATATAATATTATTAATCCACTTAATTTTGTATTTAAGTTTTGGATTTTAGTTAATGCAAGAAAATGTTTCCTCATGAAGATGTGGTTTATGTTAACTTGTTCTTTATTTAGTTACGTTGCACTATGATGTTGATAAATATGTTTTTGAGAATTATCTTGAAGAATGTCTTTAGGATTTTGTTTAACAATGTTGCCTATTATATTTTCCTAAAAATTGGTCAAAGGGGGAGTTTGTTATTTCATGTGACTAACAATATTTTACATGCAACATGTGAAGCAAGATGTTCTTCCAAGTTGTGAGACATCCTGCCACTACATGATCAAGATACTTTTAATAGACAAGAGTATGTACGTAGACATCTTGTCTCGCGAAGTTCCTTCCTGCACAAGCTGGTTGTAGTAATTCTCACGCTTTTGGTGATATGTTTTCTTTTATGTACAATCAGAGATTTGATTCTTTTTGTTCATTTTTGGATTAAGAAAATCTTTAATATGAATTAGTTTTAGCAATATTGAATTTGTTATATTCAAGAGATTCATGTTTATTCAAGATCTGATAAATAAAGATTTGTAAGCAACATTCTTGAAGATTGATCACATGCACTTTTGAATGTTCAACCTCATTCAACTCAAAACCCTACTAGGCTTTCTAGGCGAACTAATGTTGCAATTTAAGGAGTCATTCTCCTTTGTGAAGACTCAAACACTATTAAACTTGTCAAATTTTAATGTTCTTGAGTATTTTGTTTGTTTTGTGTAATACTTTAATCCTAGGTCCTATCTCTAAATTATGAGAATAGAGTATTTGAGTGGTAATATTGTTTTACCATTCAAATACTTTTGTAACTGTTCAAAGTTTTGGAAAGTGTTTGAGTGAAAGTGAAAGGGGTCTTAGATTTAGGGAGAGTCTGTATCGAAGTTCATTGATAGTATTAGAAAAAAGGTATTAAACTAGAAGAGTTCAAATCAGACCAAAATGTATGTCTAACTATTAAGAGTCGATTTTCTTTCACTGAATTAATATCCTCCAAACGTAGATTATATTACATCGAATTGGATTATCAATTCATGCATAACATCTTGATAAAGTATTTAATATTTTTTTTGATGATTTTATATTTTTTTTTTACAGATAATAAGAATATATATATATATATATATATATATATATATATATATATATATATATATATATATATATATATATATATATATATATATATATATATATATATATATATATATATATATATATATATATATATATATATATATATATATATATATATATATATATATATATATATATATATATATATATATATATATATATATATATATATATATATATAAAAGATAACTTAAGAGTCAGATAATTTGAGTCATGATCTTACTATGACCCTTGCACTTTAGGCTTAAAATTATGTTTCATTTCAAAAAGATAAAAAATTATTGAAAAAATATTCTTAATTTACAAAATTCACATGCAAATGTTCAGGAAAATGAAGAAGACATAGATTTATTTGATAGTTAAGTCTATTAATACTAATAAAAAAAGAACATATATTTTATTCATTTGTGAAAAAAAGTACATTATGATACAAAAGAAAATAAACCCAAACAACAAAATATAAATTAAACGATAGGGTGACCATGAAAACATCATTTCACAATATGTGTCTAATGTACTTTTAATTGGTAAACACAAAATCTTAAAGTTTGAGATTCAAGTCGAGTTCCTCCACTATTGTTGATTCAGTTGATAAAGAAGACACATTGACCTCTGCTAGAAGTTGGCCTTCTCCAATAAAATCACGAGTTTCTATTGGAAGATCATAAGAAGGAAATTGAACATTGAAACTTTCTTCTGCACCCTGACAAAATGAAGGAGTTTGATTAGTTTGACCAAAAAGTCCTAACTCCATAATATTTGGGATCTGAGGAATTGGCAGAGTAGAAGTTTGAATTCCACCCATAAAATTAGTCATCTCAAGTTGTGGTGTTGTTATGGGTGACTTTGGTATTGACATCACAAATGGAGGTGGTTGAGAGGGTGTATTTGGCAAATACATCCCTCTATAACCAACAAATAGAGGATCAAGCAAAGAAGGCATGATATTGCTCATTTGAGTCCCAACTGATTGTTGGAAGTTGCCACAAAAATAAGGATACCCTTGATAGTGACTAGGACTTGAATAAGGATAAAGGTGTGACAGATTAGATCTAAACATGTTATCCTCCCTCTCTTTTTCTTCATTTTTTTTGAAGTCACGTTCACGCTTATGAGCACCTTGGTGTCCTCCAAGAGCTTGAGCAGTCGAGAACTTCTTGTTACAAAAAAGACAAGGAAATTCCTTCACTTTCTCTGGTAAAACTTTAGCAATAACATTATTGGATGAACTTGACTGTTCACCATTCTCTAACAGATTTGACTTCACCTCTTCAACCACTTTTCCTTTTTCAGAATCAACTTGAAAGGTTGATGTTATATTTTTTGATTCCTTTCTCAATTCTAGCTCTGATTCTTTAATCATTTTGCCTTTCAAATTTTTATCTATAATATTCCCAATAGAAATTCATTCAGACATTTTTTTTGAAAGGACAAACTAAAAGTTTTAGAGATTTTAATGAGAAGGTGAATTTGTGTGTTTGATAATTACTAATGAAGAGTATTTATGTTTGGATAAACTATCTTGAGTGTTTATCATTGAAAAAAAAAATATTCTACGGTCAAAACCAAAAAGAGTTTTTAAGGAAATACACTATTTATTAAGGTCAAGTTTGAATAATAATTTGACCTGATTTTTTTATAAAAATTTATAAATATTTATTTTAAATTCATAGATCAAATTAAAAGTACAACTATAAATATTTATTTTAACTCAAGTTTGAGATCCAATAAAAAATACACAACCTAACAATATTGATATTACCATTTGAATTATATTATATATGAAATATATGTTTAAAATATGTTATATTATCAACAAATTATTGTCATAGTTAATTCAATTTTTTTACAATCATTATTATACACAAACTTAAATTTATCGATAGTTATTTATCGTTAGGATCCCGTCTATTAGAGTGAATGAAGCAATGACCAATATAATTGCATATGATAATTTTACACAAATGAATTTATGTCATGCAATGTAATAAGATCATATTTATTGATTATACTTTTGCAATTCTAAGAATTTAATGTTTGGATTGTGATTTATCAGTCATAAATATTTCTGTCAAAAAAAGTAAATTATAATCTAATATTATTAAGGTACTCCTAGATTTAATATGAAATAGTATGCTACAATTTTAATTACCTTTTAATGTACTCTCAAATATTCAAATGTTTAGTTTGACTTTTTATTTGAGAAAGTTGACTGAATTGAAATTGAAATTAAACTTTTTAATGAAAAAGCTATAATTTAACTTTATTTTTAAAGTTTAAAATAGATATTTTTTCTATCAAATTAGATATTTTTATTTTAAAATATTTATTTAATTGACCAAATTTTCATTTGTCTATCTATTATTTTAAATAAAATAATGGTGATGCAACAATTAATACTCTATTTTTTATTTCAAATTTAAGGATAACTTATTAGATGTGACGAGGGAGATAATGATAGATTAAAAGTCTTATCCTTAATTTCAGTATTGAAACTAACAATGCAAAGTACAAAAAAAATAAGTTATTAAAATGTAAATCAAAATGAAGTTTTCTGAAATTTCAACTAAGAATATTTTATCCGAGATACTTTGATTATTCAACAATTAATATTTCAGTTACGTTTTATATAAAATTTTAATTTTAATTTTAAAATTTTAATTAATATATAATGTATTTTATTATATAGATTATCTTTTATAAAAGACGTAAACCCTTATACACGAAGAATGCAAAGTATGACAAAAATGGACAGATGTAATGCTAAGTCGTCTCACGTTATTCCATCTGAGAACATATTTTACACATCAGATCTATTTTGTGACCATCCGCAGTTCACACTCTTTTTCATATTTCCAAGTACAATTTTCACTATCCATTTGAGATTACACTATTCATTTCATTTACTAATTTTAGTGTTGGAGTGCTAACCTTACAGATTAGTCTCGTCTACCCATCAAAAACTCAGCTACACTGTGAGGCATCATTCAATTTTATCTCTCCAATCATCATTATGTTCTCGAACAGAACATTGGCACCAACAATGGGAATGATAACGAATTTCTACGATTACCATGATCTATTGACCTCAGATCCTGATTTTCTTCAAACAAAGCATAGATCTACATCTTCAAGTCAATCTCACCAAATTTTCAATCTAATTCCTCTAACCAAAATCATCAAGCAAATGCATACGGCAGACTTTTGCAGTTGTTGATGCATTGTGAAACTGTCCCTTGTCTACTGTAACACCCCCTTTCTATACCCCCAAATAAACAATTAAATCATTTAGGCACTTGATAAAAATTTCATCAGAGTTTAATTAATACATGATATAAAAGAGGTGTATCACATTATCATGAAGTTAAACACCTACAACACCTGCTCAAATAGATATGCAACAATGGGCAATTCACAACTGAAGAACATAGTTCTAAAACTCACATCTCAATATTTAGAATAAAGCGGAAACATCTAAACATTGAATCAATACATTCATATAAACATATATACATCATTCAGTTAATTCATATGTACAAACATCCATCATCAGATACATACGCAGATGTATCACAAAAGAAATCAAAACAAATGTATCTCCAAAAAGAGCCAAAGGCTTCCTAACTATCCAGATGTTACATATCCGAGCCATCGACCAAAAATAATGAAGACCTGCTTCACAAAAAGGACCTCCAGCAATCCTACTATGCAATGCCTTATAGAGCATTATGAAACAGCAGAAGGGTGAGAAACAATATCATAACAGTCAATACATATATTTATATATCTATATACATACATGAGATTATTACAATTCAGATTCTCACCATACCTCATCACGATGCATATTCACACAATCAAGCATATTGATCAAATCATGCGTCTATACATACTCATCATCTTCCACATAAACATCTAGAATTATGTTTAATTCACTTCATGCATCATATAAAGATGACCAATGCAACTCATAGAGACCGACTCACGACTTTATGCAGATGCAAATGCGGTACCAACTCAATTCAGCAGATTCTCCAAGGAATCAAATACTCTGCAGATTCTCCGAGGAATCAAATGTTCAGCAGATTCTCCAAGGAATCAACATCGCTAGGATGTACATCATGACGCCTTTATGCAAAATGACTCACAACATTACTCTACATGCATACATATTCGCAAATATATCACTATGCATATTCATCTCATACAAGCACATACAATCTATGCACATTCACAATATACTTATACTCCATAATATACACATACTCTTCATTTCAACACATACCATTCCATATAAGGCATATATTTTTACAATCAAAATTCCACATTCTAGGATTCACGCCTTGCGGCTACCCACAACATAACATATCACACTGCACACAAAACTATTCAATTCGATAAGGATTAAACATAATTTGAACAAAGAAATCCGTATGAAAAGGGAAAACACAGAAAATAGGAAAATGCTGTCGCATTCGAAAACCTTCGCCTGGCGAAGCCTCTGGCGAACCTTCGCTACTTAGTTCGCCTGGCGAACTTGCCAGCGAAGACCACTGGGAGTTATTCTGGAATTACTCGCTAGCACTCGCCAGCACACTCGCCTGGCGAACCTTCGCCACTCTCATTCGCCTGGCGAACTTGCCAACGAAGACAGGGTGGATGCTTCTGACTCAGTTCGCTGTTGCTCGCTGGGCTTCGCCTGGCGAAGCTTCGCTGCCGTTCGCCTGACGAGCCTGCGAACTCAGAACCTCCATGGTTTTCCAAAGCCCAAACCTCACAAACCGACCGATTCTAAAGCCAAACAACCCCAGTAAGTTCAACCCAATAACACCCGACTATCCCACTCCATCCTTTTCTCGATTCTAACTGGTTAAAACCACATTCTACCGATTAAATCCTAATATTGCCCTAAGATGGAAATGAGTAGAAACTCTTCTCAATCCAACATCAACCAATCAACAACATACATAATCATACATATTAATAGTATAATAGAGTTTCACACCTTTACCCGATTGATTGAAAGCTTGGATGTTGATCCTTGATGAAATTCTAGGTTTTCCTCTTCTTTCTCCTCTTTCTCTTCTCTCTTCTTTCTTTCCCTTGTTTTTCCACTAATGTTTCTATCTATTTCCTTTTCTCTCTTATCTCATGTTCTATTTTCTTTCCTCTCCATTTCTTTCCAAACACTTACCAATTAATTCTCACACAATAATCCACTTAACACTTAATACTAAATGTCTAAAATACCCTTTACTCTGTTTTCCCCGAAAACTCTCCGAATCGGTAAAATAGCACAATATTGAAATTAAACATATCAACACATAAATTCCACAATTAAAATACCAATCATCCAAATGAATTAAAAAGGACTCAACAAAAATGGGAAATTCAGAATTTGGGGCGTTACAACTCTCCCCCACTTTAGAAATTTTCGTCCTCGAAAATATTACCTGATTCAAACAACTCTGGATGCGACTCTCGCATCTTGCTCTCCAATTCCCAAGTCATATTGCCCTCTGCAGCACCTCCCCAGGCTACTTTCACAAGTGCAATATCCTTTCCCCTTAGCTTCTTAACTTCACGATCCAAAATCCTAATCTGTAAAACCTCAACCGTCAGGTTATCTCTTACTTCAACCTCATCCATAGGAATAACATGCGACGGATCCGGAACATACTTCCGAAGTTGCGAAACATGGAACACATCATGCAAATTCGAAAGGTTCGGAGGCAACGCCACACGATATGCCACAATACCCACACGTGCAATAATCTGATACAGACCGATGAAACGAGAAGTCAACTTTTTCGACTTCAAGGCACGACCCACTCCCGTAACCGGTGTAACTCTCAAAAAGACATGGTCGCCTTCTTGAAACTCAAGGTCCTTCCTCCTCTTATCATGGTAACTCTTCTGCCTACTATGAGAAGCTCTCATCTTTTCTCGAATAAACTTCACCTTTTCCATCGTCTGTTGTACCATCTCCGGTCCAACTACCGACCTCTCACCCGTCTCATGCCAACACAAAGGTGTTCGACATCTCCGACCGTATAAAGCCTCGAATGGTGCCATACCAATGCTCGAATGAAAACTGTTATTATAAGTGAACTCAATCAACGCCAAATAACCATCCCAAGCACCACCTTGTTCTAGCACACAAGCACGCAACAAATCTTCTAACGACTGAATTGTCCTCTCGGTTTGACCGTCCGTCTGCGGATGGTAAGCCGAACTCAACCTCAACTTAGAACCCAAGGCACCTTGCAAAATTTCCCAAAATCTTGAAGTAAATCTAGGATCTCTATCTGACACAATACTTTTAGGAACTCCGTGCAACTTTACAATCACACGAACATAAAT